TGACCCGAGGTGAGCGTGGTCTGCACCTCGTGCACGGCTGTGGTTGGAGAACGAGACCGGTTTCGAGCCAAATTACCTAGGAGCTATGGGAGAGAGGGTCCGAGTGGACCCGTAACCTCAGAGGCAGTCCGTGGAGCCCCGTGAGAAGTGAGGATGTTTATTTACCTTCCTTATACCTGGAATGGGCTCTGACAGCTTCCTGCTTTCCGGGGCTTGGGTTTAGTGGCTTAGAAATGGAAGTGCAAGGATACCTGCATAATGAGCATTTGTATACCTAACCCTGAGTTGTACCCCACACCTTTAAAATAAAATAATTTAAAAAAAGAAATTAAAAAGAAATAGAAGTGCAGATGCAGATGCTGAATAGGTTCTAACGACTGTTAGGAATTTAATGGTCGGAGGTATTTCAAGGTTTAAGAGAGGTTATTTGTCTATGGGATGCTCGTGTTAAAAATCTTCATCTCAAAGCTTAAGTAAAAAGTCCCGACCGAGGGTTCGAAAACTGGGGTTCTGGAGTTTACTGTAGCTGCCATTCACTTGTAGTAACTTTGGGCAAGCCATTTAACTTCTGAGACTCATTTTCCCTACCTGTTAAATGAGGTGAACCAGATGCATCTTAATTCCGTCCAGCTCAGTTGTGGGATTCCCTCTGTCATTCAGTCTATGTGTGGTCTCAAATTGTGGCAAGTTATTTTTCTCAGTGCCTCAGCTATTTGCCCAGGAATATTGGTTATTCACCAAATATTCCTGTAGGAATGATGTTAGAATCTAAGTATAAAATTGAAGTGACTTATCCTTCAAAGGCCACTCAATGTTGGTTAGTAGGTACCCTACCACCTGGTACGTGCAGAAGTCAGGTGTTAACTGAACAAGGTTCAAATGACACAGTTGTTCTGGACTAAAACATAATGTTTCAGACTCCTGGTCAATGTCTTTTGAGAAATCCAGGATAGGGCTTCCTTAAACCTCAATCTGGCTCACTCTTTAGTGGGATTATGCTTATATAGACTTTTAAGCTTTTATTTTCATATTGTTGCACTCCATACTCAAAAACAACAGCAAAAAAAAAAAAATCTATAAAGAATTTTAGTACCCTAGTTTATAGATGAACAAGTAGGTGGTTGAAAAGGTGGGTCCAAGACAGCCTTTACAAACGAGTGTCTTGCTTATCTTTGTTGAGCATTTACTGTTCACTCAGCTCTGAACATCTTCACCGCAACCCTGAAAATAGTGATTGGAACTCTGAGGTGTTTGTTTTTAGGAGGGAAAAGTGGGAATATGAACAGAAGTTTCCTATCCTAGAAACTTCTCTATCTGAAGTGATCCCATCTGTGTAAGATTTGACCTAGGGGGTAGATAATGTGTATGGTGTTGTGCAAGTTTAACTTCCTACTGCTATATTTTCTGCTCTTCCAGTTCTGAGTGGCATTTATCTAGTTGGGTCAATGAGGTACAGTTTGGTGAAGTGGTTAAAGGTCAGAGAAAGTGTGCTCATGTTTTAAAATTTGAGGTTTATACAAGCTGCCTGTGAAATTCTGTCATTATATTGTCTGCCTTTTTTTTTTTTTAAGTTGGTGTCTCACTCTGTTGCCCAGGCTGGAGTACAGTGGCATGCTCATGGCCACTGCAGCCTTGGCCTGCTGAGCTCAGGCAATCCTTCCACCTCAGCCTTCCAAGTAGCTGGAACTTCAGGTGTACACTACCACGCCCAGCTAATTTTTTGAATTATTGTAGAGAAGAGGTCTCCCCAAGTTGCCTAGACTGGTCTCAAACCTGTAGGCTCAGGCAATCCTCTCGCCTTGGCCTCCCAAAGTGCTGGGATTACAGGCATGAGCTACCATGTCCGGCTGTCATACCTCTATTTTCTTTTTTGAGTTGGAGTATACTCTGTAGCCCAGGCTGTAGTACGGTGGCACCCCAGCGTCAACCTGCTGGGCTTCAGTGATCCTTCCAAGCAGCCGGAACTACAGGGGCACGCTACCACGCCCGGCTAATTTTTGATTTATTGTAGAGATGAGGTCTCACCAAGTTGCCCAGACTGGTCTCGAACCTGTGGGCTCAGGCAAGCCACTGACCTCAGCCTCCCAAAATACTAGGATTACAGGCTGAGCCACCAAGCCTGGCCATACCTCTTATACTGAAAATACCATAGCTTGGTTTAGTGGGGATTGAGAACTTTAGAATCCCAAGTTCTAAAACATTTCCAAAAGTGAATTTTCTCTTTGCCTTATAATTTGCCTTAATGAAGTCAAATGAGAGAATAGTATTTTTGTCGGGGTCTCTGTTGCCCAGGCCATCATGCCCAGCTAATTTTTTTTTTTAATTTTGCAGAGACAAGGTCTCACTGTGTTGCCTAGGCTCGTCTTGAACTCCTGGGCTCAAGTGATCCTCCTGCTTTGGCCTCCCAAAATACTGGGATTACAGGCATGAACCACTGGGCCTGGCTGAGAGAATAGTATTTTAAGAATATTTATAAGCCAGGCTCGGTGGCTCAGCCTGTAATCCCAGCACTTTGGGAGGCCAAGGTGAGTGGACTGACTGAGCCCGTGGGTTCAAGACCCTCCTGGGCAACTTGGCGAGACCTCATCTCTACAATAAAAAAATTTAGCTGGGCGTGGTAGCACGCGCCTGAAGTTCCGGCTACTCGGATACTCGGAAGGCTGAGGCGGAAGGATCGCCGGAGCCCAGCAGGTTGAGGCTGCGGTGGCTGGAAGCGGCCACTGCACTCCAGTCTGGGCGACAGAGTGAGACTCCAACTCAAAAAAAAAAACCAACAATATTTATACACATTAACATCAAGTTCTTAATTTTTGAAACTAGATTTCCCATTCACCTGAGGTATAAATGGGGAACTCTTACGGATTTAAATAATATTTATATGTGTGAACTTTTGGGGAGGCCTAGTTTAAAATTGACTATTCTATGTTTATTAAAATTATACATATATTTATATAATTAAGGTTAAAAAACATAGCTCTATTTGGAGGTCATAGTAGGCAATTTCATATCCTATCTTAAACTTCCCTGTGTGCTGGAGGGCTCCATAATTAGTAATTTTTGTAAGAACTTTGATCTTGCTTTTATATTTTCTTTTCTTTTTTTTTTTGAATAGGAGTCTAACTGTGATGCCCAGGCTGGAGTGCAATGACACGCTCACGGTCACCGCAGCCTTGACCTGCAGGGCTCAGGCAATCCTTCTGCCTTAGCCTTACAAATAGCTGGAACCACAGGTGCACACCACCACACCCAGCTAATTTTTTTGCTTTATTGTAGAGATGAGGTCTCCCCAAGTTGCCCAGGCTGGTCTCGAATCCCTGGACTCAGACAATCCTCTCGCCTCAGCCTCCCAAAGTACTGGGATTACAACCTCGAGCCACCGCACTCAGCCTGTATTTTCATTCAAGTGTTTGAGGATATCCAGCAAGTATAAAAATTGCTTAAGAGGGCTGGGTGCAGCTGGGCTCGGTGGCTCAGCCTGTAATCCCGCGCCTTTGGGAGGCTGAGGTGAG